AACAAGCCCTATGAGGAGCGGCTTAAATTGTTGGTCATGTTTAGCCTGCAGAAGAGAAGTATGAGAGGAGACATGATGGCCTTGTATAAATATGTGAGGGTAATTCATAGGGAGAGGGAGCAAGCTTGTTTTCTGCTGCCCTGAAGACTAGGATGCGGAACAATGGCTTCAAACCACAGGAAAGGAGATTCCACCTGAACCTGAGGAAGAATTTCCTAACTGTGAGAGCTGTTCAGCAGTGGAGCTCTACCCCGGAGTGTGGTGGAGGCTCTTTCTTTGGAGGTGTTTAAACAGAGGCTGGATGACCATCTGTTGGGAGTGCTTTGAATGCAATTTTCCTGCTTCTTGGCAGGGGGTTGGTCTGGATGGCCCATGAGGTCTCTTCCAACTCTATGATTCTATGATTCTATAAGGTTGCTTAAGTTGAAAACAACATGATAGTAACAAATAATATTAAAAATGGAAGCCAAGTGAAGGCTCAGCGGCAGGTTCAAGAATGAAACAAAACAATCCATATTTTCTGCCTTAATCCTGATGCACTAGAATGTTAAAGAAATAATTGAACTGATTGAATCATGGGTCATTTTTTTTTTCTAACCCCAATGTGAATTCCAGTGTATTTAGGGTTAGGGTGAGAATTTTGGTTGTGATCAAGGTTTAATGTACATTTTCTCATTATGTCCTGACAGCAGTGAGAATTGTAGTGGTTTCCCAACTTATTGACAATGAGAGTGTGTTACATCTGCTTCGCTGCCTTATGGGTCATTTTAAAAAAGGAGGAGAATGTTTGGTACCTTTACACTAATTGCTTTTTGTTTGAAAAAAAAAGACGCACATGGCTCTAGATAGGACAAATTGTTTACATTACATTACATGTCTACTTTGGCTTGGATTCTGCAGCAGAAAATGATGCTGAGGGGACAAAAATGTCCCATCCTGATGTATGAGGGTCAAACTGCCTAGTCCAACAAGTGATCTTTAGATTATCCCAAACACAACAACATAGTAGGATGCACATATAGCCAACTTAGCCATACGATTTGTGTGGTGATGATGATGATGATTATTATGATGATTATTATTATATGCACCATGTCAAACCATGGTTAGTACACATAATATAAATAATTTCCCAGAATATCTGTATAAATTAATTTATGTCCTATAAAAAGGGAGCCACAAATGCAATGATCCAAGAGATATAGCATGGTGTAGTCATTTGCACATTGGACTGGACTCTAGGAGACCAGAAATCCACTCCCTGTTCAGCCACGGATACCCCCTGGGTGACTGTCTCTCAGACATAGAGGCAATGGCAAAAAACAAATCTCTGGATCTTGCCAAGAAAACAGCATGATAGGGTCACCATAGGCTGGAGTCAGCTTATGATTGTACATAACAACAATGTAAAAACATTTTGTAAAATCACTGACATACTTCCATTATTTCATTTTTCTCTTTTGTGGCATATTTTTGTTGCTCTTTCCAGCACATTTCCACAACTACCTTTCCACCTTGCTTATAATGGTTTCACTTACTTTCCCAACAGGACATAACATCTCCTCTTTTGAAATTTCAAATATATTTCCAGGGTTTGTGATGGTGGCAATAGTTCAGCATCTTTAAATGTGAATCTACCATCACAGCCATATATATACCCCCTGACCCCTTTGCCCACTATTATTGCTTTTGCTTCCACAGACTGCAATGAAAGGCACACCATTTAGTTTCTAAACAAGAATTGGCCAATAATCATATGAAAGATGGAACACTAATAATTTTACAGAAGAGAATAGCTGTTTGGATGTCCAGTTGTGGCTCTTTATTTTCAGTCTCAGTTTTGTCACGTTTATTTCATTGCAGGACTAATCATGAATTCTGTATACTTTGCATGTTTGTTATTATGTTGATTGTGAAGGCTAATAAAAGTGGTAAAATGGTTAGCACAATATTTTCCATTCAAAATACTATACTGTAATTTTAATAAAATCTATTTTAAACTATGTGTACTGTGTCCAAATTAAAAATTAAATGTATGATGAAAAACATCAAGAGCCAGTGTGGTGAAATGGTTTGAGTTTTGGACCATTCCAGGAACCTCGCTTTGAATCTCTGCTCAGCCATGGAAACCCACTGAGCAAATCACAATGGGATTGACGTTGAATACACATAACAACAACAGGATATTTTCTTGCAGCCGCATAAAACATAAAGGCTAAAGTTTTCAAAAGTATTTGCGAGTGACATTCTTTGCAAGACTTGATGTCTGGAATGGGATTTCCTTCCAGATTAAAATGCATACCAATCTTTCTAAGAAAAAGTCTGTTTGGATTTGGATTTACTTATGAGTTGATAGGCACAAGATTGTGCTTTAACTGAGGGGCAGAACAATCTAAAGTAAGCAAAGTCATAAATCCACCCCTCCATTGCTCCAACTGCAGACTGATGTAACTAATGGATTAAAATCAAGATCACCCTTGACGAAAAAAGTGGTTTTAGATCCATTGGACTGAAAGTTCATTCCCCAGCTATAGCGGCACGCCTCCAAATCACTAATGTACAATTAAGAGTCATAAACCGTAATAAAACAATTAACAATTAAGAGTCATAAACCGTAATAAAACTTTGGAGCCATTAGGAGGTTGATTGCCGTCTCTTAATTGCCACAAATAGGCAGATTTGAAGGAGTTACAGCAAGGAAAGGAATAATTATATTCCCTCTTCTTGTGTACTATAGAGTGAACCTTGAACATACAGTTAAAAGGGGGAAACACATATGGAGCCACATACTGCATATTTAATCTAATTTAAATTTGACTCTGGCTGAAGTACAAGTATATGAGCAAGCCAGCAGGGAACTTAAGAATCTGGTTTAGATCAAAGGTTTAAAGCAGAGAGTGCACAGCATATAGCCCGTGGGCCGCATATGGCCCCACATAGGATTTTGGGTGGCCCACAAAGCCGATGTTACCCTCAGTCTCCCTCACCCCTGTGTAAATAGGTGGGGAACACTAGGCACAAGGCCATCCATGTAAGGCTTCAATGCTAGACTCCTCCAGTTGAGGATGGTTGAGGTGAGAAGCATGGGCTGGCCTGGCTCTTCCTCATTGCTGGGTGGCAGGCAGGGCAGAGCCAGTACGCTGCCCTTCTGCGGAACTCCTTGCTACCTCAACAGCGTTGCTGTAGCCACCTTCTCCTTAGATTCTTCCTTCCTTTACTCCTCCAGAGCCCAGCGAGGGACACAAGAAGGGAAGTTCTGAAGCAGAAGCAGTTAATGAGGCAGCAAGGAGCCACTGAAACCCAGCTCCAAGCACAGTCTCCTCAAAGCAAAGCCAGGGAGGAGGGAGCAAGCTTGTTTTCTGCTTCCCTGGAGACTAGGACGCGGAACAATGGCTTCAAACTACAAGAAAGGTGATTCCATCTGAACATGAGGAAGAACTTCCTGACTGTGAGAGCCATTCAGCCGTGGAACTCTCTGCCCCAGAGTGTGGTGGAAGCTCCTTCTTTGGAGGTTTTTAAACAGAGGCTAGATGGCCATCTGTCAGGAGTGCTTTGAATGCAATTATTCTGCTTCTTAGCAGGGGGTTGGACTGGGCCCATGAGGTCTCTTCCAACTCTATGTTTCTTTGATTCTATGATGATTCTATGATTTGGGTATAGACAGCTCTGGACGTATTGCTTCAGTCTTGCAGAATTTGGCAGCGATAAAGAAGCTGGTATAGCTCTCCAAACCTCACCAAGGTTCTGTTTTCAGGTTCTGGAGGTTTTCAAGGTTCTGGATTGCAGTCCAGAGACAAGTGGTAGGACCATAAGAACCTCACCTGGGCCCATGAGGTCTCTTCCAACTCTATGTTTCTACGATTCTATGATGATTCTATGATTTGGGTATAGACAGCTCTGGACATATTGCTTCAGTCTTGCAGAATTTGGCAGTGATAAAGAAGCTGGTATAGCTCTCCAAACCTCACCAAGGTTCTGTTTTTGTTGGCCAAGAAACTGTCAATGAGGTGTTCACAAGCTGTCAGAATCCCTGCTATGAGAGCAAAGTGCACTCCAGCAACTCTGTGGACATCTCACTCTGGACACATCTACATTGCCATATAATGTAGCCCCAGAATGCAGATTGACTGCATTGAACAGGATTATATTGCAATGTAGACTCATATAATCCCGTTCAATGCAGTTCAATCTGCATTATATGGCAGTGTAGATGGGGCTTCTGCCTCATAAGGGGATTGATCCTGCCATCTTTTTAAACCCTTGCACAGCTTCCAACCAGCATGGTTTTGTCAAGTCTGGAAATCTAGAAAATGTTAACTGAAAAGTTACTTAACTTTTCCAAGGCATGAGCCCTTGTAAGTAGACCTCTGTATCACATTAGAGTTCCTGTGCTCTTCAGGAGTAAATGGTCAGGACAAGAAAGAAATCATTTGTGGAAAGATGGAATGCTAATCTATTTGGTCAATCTTCTCAAGCAGACACTATTTCTAGATGGCGTTCATGAAAGAACAATATTTCATACCATCAATCTATCTCCAGAAACAATTTGTTCCATTAGATAATCCCTTATTTAAAACATATATTTTTCTTACTTACCTGAGGCTCTAGCCTGAATGTGTGTTGCTTAGTAGATCTATCCATTATTCATAGGAAGGGAATACTTTGATGCTTTGACTTTGTAGTACTACAGATGTAGATAAAATTCAGATTTCAGTCCACCACCATTCGCTGAAAATCTTTATCACCTTGTGCTTATTGTTCATGGTGGCCTTCCTCTTATGGGCTAGGAATAAACAGTTTAATAGTTTAATAAAAACAGAAGAAAGTAAATCATGCTTACTTGCAAGATGAATATATCAATGTATCAAAATAAGCAAATACAGTCACTAAAATATTATTTTAGAATGAAACTAGAAGTCTACAAAATTTACGTGCCACATGCGATAGGTCCTAAGACTCTTTCACACTGATGAATTATTGACTTCAACCGTCATGACAGCATCTTTTGGAATCCTGTGATTTGCAGTTTAGGGAGAGGATATTTAGACCTCTGAGTGCGAGAGCTCTAATGCTTTCTCATACTATGGCCCCATCTATACTGCCATTTAATCCAGTTCCTGAATCAAGACTATCTGCATTGAACTGGATTATTTGGCAGCGTAGACTCATAGAATCCATTTCAAAGCAGATAATCTGCATTCAGAAAATGGATTACAGGCAGTCCCCCAGTGGGGTGTTAACCCTTACCTATGCTATTCAAAGAGATGTGTGTCTGTGTATAAAGGTAAAGGTTTCCCCTTGATATTAAGTCTAGTTGAGTCCAACTCACCCAGGCAGTGCTCATCTTCATTTCTAAGCCAGAGAGCCAGTGTTGTCTGTAGATGCCTCCTAGGTCATGTGGCTGGCAAGACTGCATGGAGCACCGTTACCTTCTCGCTGAAGCAGTACCCATTAATCCCTCACATTTTGCATGTTTTCAAATTGCTAGGCTGGCAGAAGCTGGGACTCACAGCAGGAGCTTGCCCCATTCCATAGATTGGAACCACTGACTTTCCAGTCAGCAAGTTCTGCAGCTCAGCGGTTTAACTTGCTCTGCCACCACAGACTCCCAGATAGATAGATAGATAGATAGATAGATAGATAGATAGATAGATAGATAGATAGATAGATAGATAGATAAAGGTAAAGGTTTCCCTTGACATTAAATTCAGTCGTGTCTGACTCTGGGGGTTGGTGCTCATCTCCATTTCTAAGCTGAAGAATCGGCATTGTCTGTAGACACCTCCAAGATCATGTGGCCGGCATGACTGCATGGAGTGCCGTTACCTTCCCACTGGAGCGGTACCTATTGATCTACTCACATTTGTATGTTTTCGAACTGCTAGGTTGGCAGAAGCTGGGGCTAACAGTGGGAGCGCATGCCACTCCCCAAATTTGAACCTGTGACCTTTCGATCAGCAAGTTCAGCAGCGCTTTAACCCATTGCACCACTGGGGGCTCCAATATAGATAGATGGAGAGAGTTATAGATAGGTAGGCTGGTATTACACTTAAAAATATATCTGATACGACTTACATACAAATTCAACTTAAGAACAAACCTACATAACCTATCTTGTTTGTAACTTGGGGACTGCCTGTATGTGTCAGTGGAGATCCAGCCTATGAAACCATGCAGACTCAGCAGTTAAAGTGGAATCACCATGCTATTATTGTGTAGTGTGAAGGGGCATCTAGTGTTTGTAAGGTTTGCTGTTCTGATGTTAATATGAATTTTACAACAGATATTATGGTTCCTAATATTGCTGTCTCTGCCAGTGTCCCCCTAACTCCATGTCAGATGTAGAATCAAAACAGGTCACAGTACCTTGTTCCTAAAACGGTTATTGTCTGAAGTCTGCTTTCTCTATAAGCCATCCTCATTGATAACTTTAGAGGATGAAACAAAGAAGAAGTTGAACTAATCACGGCTGTTGTCACTTATGTGAGTGATGAAGCTCATAGGAGCTCACATCAGCCAAATTATTACATCACTAATGATGTCATCAGATAGGGAACCTATCTTGAGATGGCTTTTAGATTTAAAAGAGCATTCAGTGCTAAGGTGATAAAATAAGAGTCACCTTTCCTCTTGAAGTATATATTTCATGCATATAGTAATTTATGTATCATTCAGGAGGACCTAGCAGCAATTGTATCCCAAACTCTATCAAACCAAACCCTTTAATAAATGTATTAAATGTATGTTTGTGTATGTAGTATTAATTAATATTGTAGGAAACTAAATCAAATGTACTGTGAAGGCACCTGTTCTCCCAGTCTCCTCTATTTACATAAACCCCTGGGAATGAAGATTGCTGAGTCATCAGGAAATATCTCTCTGGCGATCTCCCAAGCCTAGAAATGTAATCCCTTTTGTGTGTGTTTGTAAAAGACAGATAATCCTTTTATTAGTAGGGCTGTGTTTTGCATTGTTTACCTGGCCAGCAGTGTCCTGAGGCTTATGATTTCCACAGAATTCAAGATTGACCAGAGATGAATAACTTAGCCTTTTGAATGGGCAGCTGAGCCTCTGGATATCTGGCATTATCACCTTTTATCGTGCTCCTCACTGTTGTCTTCTCCCGGAATGGATATTGTATCAATCAAGAGACCATCTGCATATCCGTTTCATCATTTTATTCATGCCCCTCATAGAGGCAATTCTGAAATGGACTGGATCTTTAAACCCTTCAATTATATATCAGCTGTTCTTCTTCCCACTACAGGGAACCCCTTTTCTCGTCTGTGACACAGTGGGAACCATGGACCAATCACAGCACAGATCCTGGCTGGCCCATTTTCTCAGCCAATCAGGAAAGGCATGGGAAGTTTGAATAGCTGTCATGTATTTCTCTGTTAAGGTGTGCTTGTACATTTTTGAGCAGTGACTTGGTACTTGCATCCCTTTTTAGCCATATTGTAACAAACCTCTGTAGTTTTCCTTCAAACCCAGAGTTCTTTGTTCTCTGTCCTGGATGATATGATTTAGTGGAAGCTCACCGAGCATAGACCCTCTTATCTGTGGTCCTAGTTGAAATCACAACAGCATGATAAAATGGCACAACTTGATTATTCATAAATCTAAATTATAACTCAGAGATACACTTCCCATTTAGACCTTTCTCATTTCTGAAAAATGTGATGTCTTGTCTGTTATCCTTACCAACACTTAAGGCAGTATGCAAATGCTATGAAAGCTGGAACAGAATGAATACTGATCAAAATGAATGATATAAATAGAATATACATAACATCAGAGAAAAACAATTTGTGCAACTATTGAAATGAACAGTGATATTGACTCTTTCAGCATTAGAACCCAAACTGATTCTTCTGCCAAAGAAAATATGGACTTGCTTCCAATGCAAATAGTGATTTGATCAACAAACTTTAGTATCTGCAAGAGAAAATAGAAAAATACGCTTTGAGAAAAATAAAGAAATACATGCACACATTTAGCTCACAAATGTCTCCCAATGACATTTTTCTTCATCGAATCCTAGAATTTGAGAAGACCCAAGTACCATCCAGTCCAACTCCCTACTATGCAGGAACACACAAAGCACTCCTGACAAGTGGCCATCCAGCTACTTCTCATAAGACTTGGTTTCTTAATTTCCAGCACTGTGCATTTAGAAATAAAGGTTAGGCATCCAAAGAAGAAGGACAAAGTTATCAAAGATGAATGCAGGAAATGCAAGCATTCTAAGCGTGAAGGACTTTTGATGTCTAGATTTTAAAAATTAAGGTACTGAAGAAAAATAATAATTGGGGAACACATACATCCTTATTTTTTGGCGGGGAATTAATATCCTCATTTTGCCCTTTTGTGACCCCATCCTTGGCAAGACGTTTTAGCTTCCAATTGATTGTATTGTTTTGACTGATGCTGTAATTTCCTGCAACATTTCAGAGGTGGCATCAAAGCTGGTCCTATAGACTCTGATAAAGAGGAATTTTCTTTCCCGACATTCACATTTAGAGTGCTGTATCTATAGCACTTTGTGTCTTTCCTCACCACAGATTTCTTGCATAATCAAAGATAAGCACCTTTTTTGTGCCAAGGCATGGTCTTTACAGGATTCAAATTCAATATATCTGTGACCTACAGAACAGTGTCTCTTGCTTGGAGGGACTGATCTGAATTGCTGAGAATTCAAAACTTAATTAATGACAGTCCCTGAAGGGGCATAATTGGTGGGATTCTCCAGTTGTTGGGGTCATCCTGGATCATACCCAAGCTGTGAACCTGCGCCTTCAGGGGGAGTGTAACCCCGTCCAGCACAGGCTGTAACCCCACTCAATTCGACAACTATCAGCCTGGGGTCTAGGGATGGTTTTTTCAACAGCGGTTTTATTATAGCTTGTTTTAAGCTTGCTGGAATGCTGCCTTCCCGAAGGGAGGCATTAACCACCACCTTCACCCACTCGGCTAACCCCCCTCTGGCATTCTTTAAAAGCCAGGATGGGCAGGGGTCTAGGGTTATTATTTATGTTATTGATCAATATTTATGTTATTGATCAGTGGTAAGAGTTCTTTTCTTTTTGTTTGGTGTCTAATATTAGGTGGAGATCCCTTCTACACAGATTATTTCTATGGATCATCTTAGGGCCCCTTCACACAGCCCTATATCCCAGAATATCAAGGCAGAAAATCCCACAATATCTGCTTTGAACTGGATTATCTGTGTCCACACTCAGATAATGTGGGATTTTCCGCCTTGATATTCTGGGAAATAGGGCTGTGTGGAAGGGCCTGAGAGAGAAAAAAAAGGAAAGGGTTTTTTTTGAGTGAAGGGCACACAATACACACAAAAGTAAACAAATCCAAGTCTGGCAAACTTTGACCTGATTCAGTGTCCCAGAAATACAGGGATGGGTGGCTTCTCAACAGGGAGAGAGTCTCAGATTGAATGGCTTTAAGCACCCTGAAGGAGGGAGGTGGGGATTCCAACCCGTCTGCTTGGAAAAAACAGAAGGAGGGAAGTGACTTCTGCGGGGAAGAAAGTCTGGAAAATTAGGAGAACGAAATCTGTGTCTCTGCTGTGCCACATCACGTCTCTCTCGCTTGCAATGCCGCTCTTCGCCATTAGGGGGAGCGCGGCAGAAGTGAGGAGGGGGATTGACGTCTCCCCCAGCCCATCCCGAGGCGAAAAAGAGCCGAATCGGCCAATAGGAAGCGAAGGTGGGCGGGAAGAAGCCGTCCGAGGGAGGCTGCTTTGCCCCAGCGGGCGGTGTAGGGAGGGAGCGCAAGCTGGGCATCTGCCGAAGGAGGCGGGATGGAGGCGGGAGGAGCATCCCGTGTAGTCAACTCCGTTACAGGGCGAGGAGGAGGAGGATGAGCCCGGCGGCACGTCCGCACCGTCATCTTCAGAAGAGGAGGAGGAGGAGGCTTCCAACTTTTCAAAGTCAAGACCAAGAAGTTAACCAAGTTGCAAAAGAGAGGCAAACAGAGCTAGGTAAGCATGGACCAGTGTCCCTGGCTTTTTCCATTTGTAATTGCCTTGCAAAAGGTTTCTTTCTTTCTGTAGCTGTGAAAGTGGCGTCAAACTGCGTTAACTTTGCAGTGTAGATGCACTCAAAGGCTCATGCTATAGCAGGCATGGGCCAGCTTTGGCCTCCAGTTGTTTTGGACTGCAGCTCCCACCATTCCTAACAGCCTCAGGCCCTTTCCTTTCCCCCCTCAGCCACTTAAGCGGTCATGGGGGCTCTTGGCCCAATTCTATCGTTGGTGAGGTTCAGAATGCTCCTTGATTGTAGGTGAACTATACATCCCAGCAACTACAACTCCCAAATGTCAAAGTCTATTTCCCCTAACTCCACCAGTGTTCACATTTGGATATATTGAGTGTTTTTGCCAAGTTTGGTCCAGATCAATCATTGTTTGAGTCCACACTGCTCTCTGGATGTAGGTGAACTACCACTCCAAAACTCAAGGTCAGTGCCCACCAAACCCTTCCAGTATTTTCTGTTGATAATGAGGGTTCTGTGTGGGAAGTTTGGCCCAATTCTATCATTGGTGGGGTTCAGAATGCTCTTTGATTGTAGGTGAACTAAAAATCCCAGAAACTACAACTTCCAAATGCCAAGTTCTGTTTTCCCCAAATTCCACCAGTGATCACATTTGGGTATATTGAGTATTTGTGCCAAGTTTGATCCTGATCCATCATTGTTTGAGTCCACGGTGCTCTCTGGATGTAGGTGTACTACAACTCCAAAACTCAATGTCAATGAACACCAAACCCTTCCAGTATTTTCTGTTATTTTCTGTTTGGAATGGTGGGAGTTGCAGTCCAAAACTCATGGAGGGCCCAATTTGTCCCCTGCCTATGCTATAGGCTAAAAGAAATCTTTTCTTCTTCTTTATGCGCCTTGGAATAGTTTCTGTGTCATGCTTTACATAAAAAGTATGTACTACAAGATGTTTTGTTTCACTGAGGTCAGTGAAATGTCTTTCCTCTCAAGCAAACACAGCACAGCCGCCTGGGTGACATTCAAGTCCTGGCTCAGCTTCAGTTCATTCCAATGGGCTGAAGTACTTAAGACTTTTTTCCTGGCAGTTTGGTCCTTTTCTTCATCATCCCGGGATTTCACTCTGAAGGACAACAATGCTTGGTGAGGTAGGCAGCAGTGGGGAAAGAGAAAGATCACATCCAAGATCAGCGTTTCTCAACCTAGGGATCGGGACCCCGGGGGGGGGGGTCACGAGGCGGTTTCAGAGGGGTCGCCAAAGACCATCAGAAAACACAGTATTTTCTCTTGGTCATTGGGGTTCTGTGTGGGAAGTTTGGCCCAATTCTGTCATTGCTGGGGTTCAGAATGCTCTTTGATTGTAGGTGAACTATAAATCCCAGCAACTACAACTCCCAAATGTCAAGATCTATTTCCCCCAAACTCCACCAGTGTTCACATATGGGCATATTGAGTATTCATGCCAATTTTGGTCCAGATCTGTCATTGTTTGAATCCGCAGTGCTCTCTGGATGTTGGTGAACTACAACTCCAAAACTCAAGGTCAATGCCCACCAAACCCTTCCAGTATTTTCTGTTGGTCATGTGAGTTCTGTGTGCCAAGTTTGATTCAATTCCATCATTGGCGGAGTTCAGAATGCTCTTTGATTGTAGGCGAACTATAAATCCCAGCAACTACAACTTCCAAATGATGAAACCAATCCCCCCAGAACCCCACCAGTATTCAGATTTTGGCGCATTAGATATTTGTGCCAGATTTCGTCCAATGAATGAAAATACATTCTGCATATCAGATATTTACATTAAAATTCATAACAATAGCAAAGTTACAGTTATGCAGTAGTAACAAAAATAGTTTTATGCGTAGGTGTCACCACAACATGAGGAACTGTATTAAGGAGTCGTGGCATTAGGAAGGTTGAGAAACATTGTTCAAGATGCATTGAGCAGGGATGTAGAAAGAACGCAATTTGACACAACTTTCCCAGCCGTGGCACAATGCTATACAGTCCTGGGAATGGGTCCGAACACACCTGGAATATTGTGTCCAGTTATGGGCGCTGCAATTGAAGGGAGATGTTGATAAGCTGGAATGGGTCCAAAGAAGGGTCTGGAGAACAAGCCCTTGAAGACCTGGGCATGTTTAGCCTGCAGAAGAGAAGGCTGAGAGGAGTCATGATAGCTGTGTATAAATATGTGAGGGGAAGTGATAGGGAGGAGGGAGCAAACTTGTTTTCAGCTGCCCTGGAAACTAGGATGCGGAACAATGGCTTCAAACTACAGGAAAGGAGATTCCACCTGAACATTAGGAAGAACTTCCTAACTGTGAAATCTGTTCAGCAGTGGAACTCTCTGCCCCGGAGTGTGGTGGCTCCTACTTTGGATGCTTTTAAACAGAGGCTTGATGGCTATCTGTCGGGGATGCTTTGAATGTGATTTTCCATCTTCTTATCAGAGGGTTGGACTGGATGGCCCACAAGGTCTCTTCCAACTCTATAAGTCTATGATTCTAATGCAGTGTTGAGTTTTCTGGGCTGTATGGCCATATTCCAGAAACATTCTCTCCTGATGTTTCACCCACATCTATGGAAGGCATCCTCAGAGGTTAAGGGGTCTGTTGGAAATTAGGCAAGTGAAATTTATATATCTGTGGAATGTCCAGAGTGGGAGAAAGAACTCTTGTCTGTTTGAGGCAGGTGTGAATGTTGTAACTGGCCACCTTGATTCACATTAAATGGTATTGCAGCTTGTTTTCTGCTTCCTTGGAGATTAGGATGCGGAACAATGGCTTCAAACTACAAGAGAGGAGATTCCATCTGAACATGAGGAAGAACTTCCTGACTGTGAGAGCTGTTCAGCAGTGGAACTCTCTGCCCCTGTGGTGGAGGCTCCTTCTTTGGAAGCTTTTAAACAGGGGGCTGGATGGCCATCTGTCAGGGGTGATTTGAATGTGATATTCCTGCTTCTTGGCAGGGGGTTGGACTGGATGGCCCATGAGGTCTCTTCCAACTCTTTGATTCTATGATTCAAAGCCTGGCTCCTTCCTGCCTGTGGGAATCCTTTATTGGGAAATTTTAACTGATATATTGCCGAAGGCTTTCATGGCTGGAATCACCGGGTTGTTGTAGGTTTTTTCGGGCTATATGGCCATATTCTAGAGGCATTCTCTCCTGACTTTTCACCTGCATCTATGGCAAGCATCCTCAGAGTTAGTGAGGTCCTCTGAGGATGCTTGCCATAGATGCAAGTGAAATATCAGGACAGAATGCCTCTAGAACATGGCCATATAGCCCAAAAAAACCTACAACAACCTGATGTTAACTGACCTTGGCTGTTTCCTGTCTAGAATTCCCCTGTTTTTTTTCCCTTTTATTCCACCCTGAACATTTCACAGTGATGCAAACCACGCTTGTCTCTCCCAGCCTCTGAGGCTGCCTGCCATAGACGTGATCAAAACATCAGGCGAGAATGCTTTTGGAACATGGCCATACAGTCCAGAAAAACTCACAGCAACCCAGTGATTCTGGGCATGAAAGCCTTTGAAAACACGTAGTGCAGTTTGGCTCCACTTTTCCTGCCATGGCTCAATGCTATGCAATGCTGGGAATTGTAGTTTGGCGAGGCACCGGCACTCTTTGGCAGAGAAGGTGAAAGACTTTAGGAAACTGCAACTCTCATGGATTGAGAGTATTAAGCCATTGCACTTTAAGCAGTGTCAAACTGCATCGGTTGTACAGTGTAGATGCATCCTTAATTAGGAAAGCCATGGACAAACTTTGCAAGATTGAGCATAACTGGGTTGTTGTGAGTTTTCCGGGCTGTATGGCCATGTCCCAGAAGCATTCTCTCCTTACGTTTCACCCACATCTATGGCCAGGCATCTGCTTGCCATAGATGCAGGTGAAATATCAGGACAGAATGCCTCTAGAACATGGCCATATAGCCCAAAAAAACCTACAACAACCTGATGTTAACTGACCTTGGCTGTTTCCTGTCTAGAATTCCCCTGTTTTTTTTCCCTTTTATTCCACCCTGAACATTTCACAGTGATGCAAACCACGCTTGTCTCTCCCAGCCTCTGAGGCTGCCTGCCATAGACGTGATCAAAACATCAGGCGAGAATGCTTTTGGAACATGGCCATACAGTCCAGAAAAACTCACAGCAACCCAGTGATTCTGGGCATGAAAGCCTTTGAAAACACGTAGTGCAGTTTGGCTCCACTTTTCCTGCCATGGCTCAATGCTATGCAATGCTGGGAATTGTAGTTTGGCGAGGCACCGGCACTCTTTGGCAGAGAAGGTGAAAGACTTTAGGAAACTGCAACTCTCATGGATTGAGAGTATTAAGCCATTGCACTTTAAGCAGTGTCAAACTGCATCGGTTGTACAGTGTAGATGCATCCTTAATTAGGAAAACCATGGACAAACTTTGCAAGATTGAGCATAACTGGGTTGTTGTGAGTTTTCCGGGCTGTATGGCCATGTCCCAGAAGCATTCTCTCCTTACGTTTCACCCACATCTATGGCCAGGCATCTGCAGAGGTTGTGAGGTCTGTTGGAGGCTAGGCAAGTGAGGTTTATATATCTATTGAATGTCCAGGGTGGGTGAAAGAACTGTTTTCTGTTTGAGGCAAAAGTGAATTTTGCAATTGGCCACCTTGATTAGCATTGAATGGCCTCGCAGCTTCAAAGCCTGGCTGCTCCTTGCCTGAGGGAATCCTTTGTTGGGAGGTGTTAGCTGTCCATGATTGTTAGCTGGCCCTGACTCCTCAGAGGTTACCTACCATAGATGTGGTCAAAATGTCAGGAGAGAATGCTTCTAGAACATGGCCATATAGCCCGGAAAACTCACAGCAACCCAGTGATTCCGTCCATGAAAACCTTCAACAACACATTGAGCATAACTTTTGATGACAAGCTGACTTCAAAGGGTCTCATTCATAAGGTCTCCATCAATCAAAGCCAACTTGATAGCATGAAGAATAAA